TTGAACAGTACGGGTCCCAAAACAGACCCTTGAGGAACTCCACTTGTTATCCCTTTCCAGCAGGATTTAGAACCGTTAACAACAACTCTCTGACTACGGTTATCCAGCCAATTATGCACCCACCTTATCGTGGCCCTATCTAAGTTATATTTGCCTAGTTTATCAATAAGAATATCATGCGAGACCGTATCAAATGCCTTACTAAAGTCTAGGTATATGACATCCACCGCTTCTCCCTTATCCACAAGGCTCGTTATCCTATCAAAGAAAGCTATCAGATTAGTTTGGCATGACTTGTTCTTCACAAACCCATGCTGGCTATTCCCTATCACTTTATTACCTTCCAAGTGTTTGCATATGATTTCCTTAATTACCTGCTCCATTATCTTCCCTGGGACAGACGTTAAACTGACCGGTCTATAATTTCCTGGGTTGTTCTTATTCCCCTTTTTATAGATGGGCACAATATTTGCCCTTTTCCAGTCTTCTGGAATCTCCCCTGTCTGCCATGATTTTTCAAAGATCATAGCTAAAGGCTCAGATACCTCCTCTATCAGCTCCTTGAGTATCCTGGGATGCATTTCATCAGGACCTGGTGACTTGCTGACATCTAACTTTCCTAAGTGATTTTTAACTTGTTCTTTGTGTATCCTATCTTCTAAACTTACCCTCTCTCTGCTTGTATTCACTACGTTAGGCACACCTCCAGACTTCTCGGTGAAGACCGAAACAAAGAAGTCATTGAGCATCTCCGCCATTTCCAAGTTCCCTGTTACTGCTTCTCCCTCCTCACTAAGCAGTGGGCCTACCCTGTCCTTGGTCTTCCTCTTGCTTTTAATGTATTTATAAAAGGTCTTCTTGTTTCCCTTTATGCCTGTAGCTAGTTTGATCTCATTTTGTGCCTTTGCCTTTCTAATCTTGCCCCTGCATTCCCGTGTTGCTTGCCTATATTCATCCTTTGTTAGTTGTCCATTAACTTAGTTGTAAATTAACTTATGTCCATTTATTTTTACTTGTTTATTTCCTATGCCTGTCTTCTTGCCTCTCATTGCCTAGTAGCACAGAGAAAGCTAAACCTTTCTCCCCGAATCAGACCTTCTCGCTTAATAATAATTATGTTGTTTAGTTTATGCTAAATATTTATGTATAAATATTCAGGGATAGGCTCACTGCACTAAAGCTGACTACAGTAGAAATGACCTTATGGCTTTTGGGTTTTTTTAAGTTTGGAGACTTGACACTAGTAGCAAAGGCAAAAAACTTTTGTGCTAGCCAGAGAACAGTATATTAAGGATAAAAGGGCTTTCTGAAGTCCCTTTCCCTCTGTCTTCTGAGGTCCCAGGGACTCTCCAGATTCAGATGTGTGACCCAGAATAACATTCTTGTTAACAGGCTGTTGAGATGGTATTACAACCATGCTGTAAGCTGGAAAAAAGCGACAGCCATGTTCATGCAAATGCCGCGGGAAAAATTTAAATCCCCGGGGCATTTGCAATTCCGACTGGTCTCATTAGCATCCCTTTTCCGGAAAAGGGTGCCAATGTAGACACAGTCTAACAGTGTTAGCATTCTACTAGCAGAAGTCCAGTTTAAATCTGTGTGTGGGTAATATCATTTCTGAACTGGTATAGAAAAGGGCCAGAAAGAGAAAATCTTTCCCTTTTTATAGTTCCTGGCTTCTTTTCTCTGTTGGAGCAAATAGCTCTAGCTGACCCATATCAACATTCTCTAGTGGCAAGAGTTCTTGGCAATCACTGTAGTGAGGACAGTCTGCTATTGTGACTTTTCTTGCTGGTTTTAACTCAATGCTTCCATGTCTATTACAGGGCAGAGTTTATACACTCTACCACACAGCTTTCCACTTTGAATTGCAGTTGTTTCTTTCTCTCTCCCCCCCCCCCCTCCGCGCCACCCACACGCCACGGCCG